TCTTCTTATTAATGATACTAGCGACTTACACTACAATAAATAACTTTGTACATCGATATTTGCCTACATTTTAAGGGATGTGCTTGGTTTTTTCAAACTGTTGAGACAAATGTTGTGAAGAACACTCATACACCTGAGTACTCCTTATTCTAGATAGAGTACTGGGGTTGCTTTGCACCTGAACAAGCCTGGTAAGTTTCTTGGAACGTTTCAAACCGTTTCTGATTGTGCTTGTGGGAGATAACAGTACAGAACATTCCATGACAGATATTATGACAACAATTTTGGAGTTGGTGCTGGCACTGCAGATCCAAGGGACACTTCGATTATAACTTGCCCAGGCTCAAACTTTCTCTAATTGACTTCCTTGAAGCACTTGGTCTGTGAAGTGCCCACAAGTCCAGATTTAAAGTACCGTCAATCTGTGGTCCTCATGAGAGTGACTTTCAGCTGAAGAGTTTAGATTTGCCCTAACCTTGCAGACCCTTCAGAAACCACGCTGACGACTCATCTCTACAGGGAAGCACAGCTTTCTCCTTCCTGTGGACCTGGAGCGGGGTCAGCTGCCTGGCCCAGCAGCAGGTCTGCCATCTTTTCTCCAGCCTCGGAAGGGGCCTGGCCTCAGTTTCCTTCTGTGGTGCTTTCCATCTGTAGTACCAGGACAGTGCCTTCTCTGAGGGCTTGTGTGTGTTTGCTCTTTGCTTTTGGATGCAGTTGTTGTTTCAGGTGTGATGTGACAGCTTGTCCCTGAGCCATTGCATGATATTCATTGCATGAACTGGCTGGGCTAACTGTGTCTCAGTGGAATCTTCCCTTTTCCATTGAATACAAGAACTACTTTTTATTTATTTTTTTATCTGTCTATCTATATATATATATGCTAGAGGAATTGGTGAAGGTAGGGGCCAGTGCTTGCAATATAGATAAGGAAAAATATCGAAAATGAATATTACCTTTTATGATGGACCAGTATTGTTTTCTGTATAGTTTATATACCTGATAGATAAAGTTCACCATTTGTAAGTGTATAGCTTCATGAGTCTTAACAAAACTCATGTATAGTGGTAGAACTACCGCCATACTCAAGATAGAGAATGAAGCATTTTCTGTATAGACATATACTTTTGCTTCTCTTGGGTAAATACACCTACACATGGGTTATGTGGAGAACATACACTTTACTTTCAAGAAATTGCCAAACTGTTTCCCACAGTGGCTTTACCATTTTGAGTGACTTTTCTTCTTGGCACCTTTTAGTGTTTCTTTTCTCTATCTCTTCATCTCCCTTCTCTCTTTAAAAAGTCTCTGTCCCTTATAATGTGTGCCAATCTTTAACCAAAGACAAGGCCAGAGTCTGTGCATTGGGGAAGAAGAGTAGGACAAAAGGGAGGTGGCTGGGTATATTCTCATGTCTACTAAGGAGGGATGTGGCTGGGTATTCCCACAGGACTAGTAAGGAAGGAGGTCTCTGGGTATCCCAACATGCCTACTAAGGAAGGAGGTGGCTGGGTATACTCACATGACTAGAAAGGAAGGAGGTGGCCACATATACCCACATGATTAGTAAGGAGGGAGGTGGCCAAGTATATACACCTGACTACTAAGGAGGAAGGTGGCCAGGTATACCCCCATGACTACCTAGGAGGGAGGTGGCTGTGTATACTTACAGGACTACTAAGGAGGGAGGTGGCTGGGTATACTCACTTGACTACTAAGGAGGGAATCAGCACAGTACTGAGTGTAAAAGATCCTTCTAGAACGATTTTGGAGCCTCAAGTTGTTATTCTTCTGTGGCTACAGTGAATCCAATAACTTTAAGTTGTCAGAGGTTAGCCACAACTTACAAAACACATTTACCTATTGAGGTTTGATCCTCCAATAGTTCTGTCACATGCACGTGCTGTCACAATCCCCGTTTCATAGAGGATGAAGTTCAGAGGGTATACGTGAGGGACCCAAGGTTCCCACTGGATAGGAACAGAACCAGGATAGACCCCAGTATCCTGACTTTGCCTCCAGGCTTTATCTGCTGATAATCACCCCATGTTGACTCCTGGTACTGAGCCAGGCCTTCATGCTCATTCCTAGTCTGCACCTAATCTGTGGTTATGAACCGTGATCTCATTGTTCAGATGCATCATCTGGGTGCCTTTCCTGGGGTTGTATAGCTGGGACCTGATTGACTGCGGTGGACCTGGAGCCCCTGATGGCAGGGCCTGTACCCTTCCTCTTCCCCACACAGTAGAAACACATGTCCCTTTTGTGACTGCAGAGAGGAAGGGGGGGGAGGTGACCAGCCTCTCTCCGCAAGCAGCTGTGTGCTGGATGTGGGCTGGTTACTCCAGGTGTGAAGGAAGAGGAGGAAAGCCAGATTATAAAGAACATAAGCCCAGTGTGGAGATAAACTAAGATGATCTAAGTAGGAGAGGGACTCCTGGGTGACATGGTCCAAGGGTAAAACTGGGATGATTAACAGCCTCCCCAAGTAAAACTGGGCCCTGGGCCTCCCGCCAGCCCTACCCTTCTGCACTCCTGCGACTCACCTGCATGTGCAGCACCCAAAAGCCAACCTGTGGGCAAACCCCATCCTAGCACCAAGAGGCAAAACTAAAAGCACAAAAAATAAAAAACCCCACTTAGTTATTTTTCAGTCCAGTTCCACAAGCCATTTGTCCTCTTCCCGTCCCCATAAAAATGCCACCATCCCGACCCATTGGGTGTTACCACTCTAGAATCTCGTAAATCTTCTCTTGCCCTTATCCACTACCATCCACTCTGGTTCAAGATGCTTTGTCTCACACCTGAACCTTCAGCAGGCTCAGGCCTGGTTTCTCCGGTCTCCCTTGCTGCCTATCCAGCCCTTGACACTGCCATCAGAAGGGTCTCTCAAAAATGTCACGTCTGATCATACCATCACCCCTCTCAGATTAAGACCCTTTGGTGGCACCCTACTGGCTGCGAGGTGGCCAGTCCTTAATAGGAACCACCCGACCTTTGTCCTGGTTCAGCTCACATCCAGGGCCCTCCTTCCTGCCATGAGAAATACCTGGCATGAACAGGTATTTCCAGGCTCAGAGTAGCTCCTACCCTCTGAGGTCTTAGGGAGCCCTTGCTACCCCCCCAGACACAGCCATCCCACTGTGCTCTCGTGGTGCCAGGTGACACTGGGGTAACTTCCTGCAGTTTGCTGTCACATGTGTGTGTTTCCCTCACTGGACCCACAGTGTAAGCCCTGCATGTGCCAGGCCCACATCCATTTCTGTTCACCATCATGTTTCTAGTGACTGGCGCAAAGAAGGTTCTTGATCAGTGCTTGCCATTGGCAAACTACCTTGGCAAACAAGATTTTATCAAGAACTTGCTTACATTTTAAGATAGATAATAGTGGCGCCAGGTATGTTTTTATTTGTATTTTCATGTATAGGCTTAGTGTGCCTCTTACGTTGCAAAATGCTCTCTCAGCAGGACGTTGTCTTTTGCCTTTAAAGTGGTCTTTTCATTCGTCTCGTTTGGAATCTGAGTCTCCAGAACTGCACTGGCTAAAAATGCAATTCCTAAAACTCTTAGAAAATGATAAGATCTAACAGTGTATATTTTCAGTTTTATTGTGCCTGTAGCATTGCATATATAGACAGTACTTAATATATTTGTTGATTTGTTCATTATATATTATTTTCATTTGAAAAGCATATAACCACAGTACACAGTTTTGGGAGGAAAGGGAAAAAAATCTGTAACACTACCATTCAAGCTCTGTTACAGTTTTAGTATATTACCTTTTGGTATTTTTATATGCATCTTAACATTGCCATATTCACAATGTACATACAATTTTGTGTCCTCTAAGAAACCTTATTGTTGCTGGATCAAGGTATTACATTGTATACAGCATGGTATGTATCCAGTTCAATTCAAAAGCATTTATGAAGCAATACACCATTCTGTGTGCTTAATACCGTTCAAAGAAAACACACAGATTTGATATCGTGGCTCTTTATTAATAAAATACCATAGTTATGAAGGCTTTAGTGACATTTTTGCTTCACGGTCTGTCTTGTGGCATCTCCTCTTCCAGCTACCAGCAGGAATGGTGGCATGAGGCAGGGGCTCCTCTTTCCCAGGGGAGGACCCTCTAGAGGGTGACATTCGAGCAAGGCCTAAATAGAGAGAAGAGAGAACGACACAGCTGTTGGGGGAAGAGTGTTCCTGGCAGTGCTATCCCCAGTGCAAAAGCCCTGAGGTGCTTGGGGTTTTCAAGGAACAGTAAGGGAAGGGAATTAGGAGCTTAGGTTGGCGAGTAGCAGCAGGGAGGTCTCAAAGGATTCTACTAACCCTGGGAGGCCCTGCTTTTCCTGAGTGAGATGGGAAATGGTAGACTAATGACAGGACTGCTTCATTCTCCAGCTTCGTTCCTCTCTGAGGCCCTTCTGTGCCCACCTTTGTCACCCTCCGGATGAGTGACATTGTACCAGAACCTGTGAACTCTCCTTTAGAAGCATGCATGATGTGCTCATGACATAAAGTGCCCAATCCTTAAGCCTAAATGTGCAGGCAGGTCATTAGCCACACCTGTGGGGTCACACACTCACATTTGGTTATCACTGTTTCAAGAAACTAGGCACATTCCACATATTTAAAAACCATGTAGCCCAAACTTCTCGTTTCTTTCTCTTTTGATTATTTGAGATCATTGTTCCTCTCTGAAAATAATGACCAAATTTGTTTTTACAATAGCATTAAAAAGTCAACCTAGTAGGGCTTACTATCAGCCTGACGTTATTAAGCATGCTTCAACCTCTGACAATTCTAGAAACCAGGTTTTTTGTTATTGGGGGGCGGTTATCCTATTATAATCTTCCTTGAATTGCTTTATGGCTAGATCTGTCACATGCCAAAGTTAGATCCCATTAGCAGGCTTAAAACATTTATTTCTGAAAGAACAAACTGTTACAGGTTGCTTAGGGTAATTTATTTCTTTTGTTTTCTTTCTGCTACAGAAGGAGACATCACAGCTTTCCCAGATCAGGAGGAAAAATATGGAATGTGTTTTACCGCTGACTGAACACAATCGAATGAACTGTCCTGACAGTAGTTTGAAAACCAGCAGCTAGCAGTTTGTCCAGGCTCTAACACTGTCCAGCACTTTCCAGAGCAAATCTGCTGTTTACAAGAACTCTCAGCCTTACGAAGTTTATAACCTCAAGCTTTGTTTATTTAAAATATTTCTGCAGAAGAAAAGTACCTGGCACCTGCTTTCCAGAATGGCCATGGAAGAGTATTTGTGGATGGTCATTTTAGGTTTCATCATAGCGTTCATCTTGGCCTTTTCTGTTGGTGCAAACGATGTTGCCAACTCCTTCGGTACTGCCGTGGGCTCTGGCGTGGTGACCTTGCGGCAGGCCTGCATTTTGGCTTCGATATTTGAAACCACCGGCTCTGTGTTATTGGGAGCCAAAGTAGGAGAGACCATTCGTAAAGGTATCATTGACGTGAACCTGTACAACGAGACGGTGGAGACACTTATGGCTGGGGAAGTTAGCGCCATGGTTGGTGAGTAGCCTTCTTCCACACACCCATGGGCCACACCTGCCCCCAACCCGCCTTCCTGCTATGCCTGGGCCATATTCATAAATTTGATTTGTGTTTTGACTTTTCAAAAACTGGTTTGACATTTTATATTTACCATCTTATTTTTTGTTTTCTGCATATTAATTACAATTTTAAAAGTGTTTAAATATCAAGCAACTATTTACTTTCTCAAATTTTTTAGCAAACTTGGTTGTTAAAATAGATTTCAGCTAAGTGAATACTTTTCATAAAGTACAGAAAAAGATATTTGTAGAAGAGCTCTTTATTGTTTTAGAGTTGCTTGAAAGTTATGAAAGAGATAACGTGTCTAAATGAATGTGTTCTAAAGATTTACTTATAAAATTTCCTGGAAAGTTGATTTATGTTTTTTCTTAAAGTTTTTCATCAGTTAAGATGCAGTGTTTCGAAACTTTGGATGACAAAAAATAGTATTTATTAATTTAACTGTTATATTCTCAGTTTAAGCTCTAGAGCATTTACCAAATGAATCTGAACTAAGTGCTTATGTTTCAAGAAATTCCGGCCTCCTACATTCTTTGTAAACCTTTTGTAGGCTTTTATTTTGACTTTCTGATTCTACCTCTGGAAGCTCCATTTGTCATGTTTTGTTTTCTGGCCACAAAATAATTTGTATGTCTGCTTTTATTGGTAGTTTTAAGTTGTCTAGATGAAGTATTGAGGTGAACTGTATGAGTGAGCACATTGACTGGTGGATTGTGTGACCTCCCCACTGCCAGGTGAAACCAGACGCCAGCACTAGGGGTGTTTGCAGCACTGCCCTCGCCACGGCTGAAAAGAAAGAAATCCAGGGAGGAGCACATTAAGTGCAGCTGAGGAGCTTTTTTTTGCATGCCTCTAGGGAGAGATGATGGTGCAGCAGACTCCTTATCTGGTTAGGGAGAGAAGGGCTAGGGAGGAATTTTACCACCTTCTGTTTGCAACATACTTTTGTAGGAAGAGTCCCACAGCAGGGGACAAGATAGTGGTGTGCCAGGAATACAGCCACATCCCACAGGTCCCTGGTTATTTATTTTAAATAGTCACTAGCATTTCTTAAGGAGCCAGTATGGGGAGATTATTTGCCAAGTTTAAGAAGGTCCACTATCCTTTTGTTACAAGGCATCTCATCAGAAGCAGCCGGATATACTAAGGGATTCAATATTTACTAAGCACTGTAGGCTGGTAATATATACTAAGGAGTCCCTGTTTTTCAGCTTGACATTTTGTGTTGTGAAGATGTCAGGTTCGAGATCACTTTCAGCCCAAGAACTATTGTGCTTGTTGAATTTTACCTACCTTCATAGAACATACAAGGGGAGACCCCCCCCCCCCAAAAAAACCAGAATTATCTTTTGGAGGGCTGGCCCCTTGTAGTACTTAGAATTCGTTTCCCTGGATCAAATAGTCAACAAAGTTTTTATCTGGAAGTTTTGAAAAGGTTGCATCATGATTTGCAGAAGAAACATCCTGAGTTGTGGCAAACAAGTGACTGGTTCTTCCACCATGACAACGCACCAGCCTACACCATGCTGAGTGTTCGCAGTTTTTGACCAAAAATGGCATGACCCCCACGCTTCACCCTCCCTATTCACTCGATCTTGCCCCAAGCAACTTTTTTTATTTTCCCGGATGCAAAAAGTCCTCAAAGGGAAATGTTTTGTTGATATGGAAGAGGTGAAGCAAAAAATGGCAGATGCACTAAAAGGCATCAAAACTGACGAGTTCAGTAACTGTTGTGAGCAGTGGTAAAAGAATCTCAATAGGTGTATTGCATCAAACAAAGAACTTTGAAGGTGACTGAAGTTTAAACATGTAAGAATAAATACACAATTTTTAATAAATAAATTCCAGGGTTTTGGGTCCCCCCTTGTACATTTCTCAGCACAGTCAGATATAATTGAGATTTTCCTTAGAAAAATAACTGTTCTTTGTAAAATGTACCCTTAATAGTCATGATACGTATCTAATATTTAATTATATGAAGCTGAAAGGTAAGATTTTATTCCTAGTCAGGATGATGTGGACAAGATGTTTTGAAAGTATGGGGCAAATAAAAACACTGGCAAAATTAAATCTCATCCAGTCATGGTGGCTCATATCAGTAATCCCAGGAGTTTGGCACTAGTCTGGGCAACATAGTGAGACTACATGTCAACAAAAAACTTTTTTAAAAAATTAGCTGGGTAACTGGGCTCGGTGGCTCAGCCTGTAATCCTGCGCCTTTGGGAGGCTGAAGTGAGTGGATTGCCTGAGCCTGCGGGTTCAAGACCCGCCTGGGCAACGTGGCAAGACCTCATCTCTACAATAATCAAAAACTAGCCGGGCGTGGTAGCACGTGCCTGTAATTCCAGCTACTTGGAAGGCTGAGGCGGAAGGATCGCCGGAGCCCGGCAGGTCGAGGCTGCGGTGGCTGGGAGCGGCCACTGCACTCCAGTCTAGGCGACGGAGTGAGACTCCAACTCAAAAAAAAAAAAAAAAAATTAGCTGGGTTTAGTGGTGCATACCTGTAGTCCAAGCTCCTTGGGAGGCTGAGGCAGAAGGATTGCCTGAGCCCAGGAGGTCAACGCTATGGTGAGCTGTGATTGTGCCACTGCACTCCAGACTGTTTCACAGAGTGAGACTCCAACTCAAAAATAAATAAATCTCAACTGACATGTTTCCTTTCATTGGATAAAACTTTTAAGGACTGGTAGTATCTATTATGGAGGTTTGTTAGTGAAGCTACACTGAAGACCTCTGTAAGACAGGAAAGTTTGTGTACTGAGCTGCATGTCACCACTGACTTTTCACATCGACAGAATAACTAACCCAGTGTTTCAGTTTTCCCACCCCTGGCCTTTGCCTCTTTACTGAAAGAATGAAGGATACTTACCTCAACTAGACTTTGGGTTTACCAAAGCAATTTGGGGTTTTGCTTGAATAACTTGATTTTGTTTGCTTTGGTTTCTTTTTTATTTTTTTGGTATGTGGTTAGATGAATCTCAAAGCCTACTTTGTTGGGAATTTGTGTGGGTTACCTAGATTTTAAAAATTGGGTTCTTTGCAATGAGAGCTATGTAAATGTAAGATGGTGGTATAATTACTACTGGCAAAACCAAAGCTGATTCTGTCCAGATGCCTGAATTCTCCCAGTCTTCTTCTTCTGAATTCAATATCCCTTTTTCTTCTCCCTCTCTCCCCCTGCCCTTTATTCTATTCCATTTTATTTTTTCTTTTTCCTTTGGTCACTCCCCCCCAAACCCTGGGGTCTCTGTGCTTCCTGACAGAGTTGTACTAGTTAAGATGGTTGTGTAGAAGAAGTTGTTAGTACAACTAACCTTCCTGAACTAGTTATCTTGTGAGACTGTTGCTCAGCCCTGAAGCAATAGTCAACCCACTTTGTAGGAAACCACCTGTGGCTCCAAAATTTTACTGAGAATTCAAGACTCCAACTCTTCTCATGGAAATACTCACACTGGCATGAGCAAGTCATGTTCTTGAACTCCTTAGGAAGTGCACAGTTCCCTCCTAGCTCCGATCCCCAGTCACACTCTGCTTCTCACCCCTTCTGTCAGCCTCCCTGGCACCAGAGCCTTTGCTCTGCCACTTCTTTCATCTTCCCTGGAACAGTGGCCTGAGAGATGCCCATTTCCCTACTTTCTACAGGTTTTGTCTTGCACCCTTATCCCATGCTTAAACCTTTCCTCATTGCAGGATACCATTATCTTCCAGTAAAATATCTCTTTAGGCTGGGCATACTCACCCTTGTAATCCCAGTGCTTTGGGAGGCTGAGGCAGGAGGATCGCTTGAGCCCAGGAGGCTGAGGCTGTAGTGAGCTATGATCGTACCACTGCACTCTAGTCTGAGTGACAGGGCAAGACCCTGTTTCTTTTTTTTTAAATCTCCTTCTTTTTCCCACTGTTCTTCTTGGCACTAATGTAAGCGCATTTACCTTTGGACATCCCTGGAGTTGAGGCGCTCTCCCAGTGCTGCGCAGGTGTCCCTGCCTCCCCCACCTCCTCCTGCCGGCCTTCCCTCCTTCCTCCTTCCCTCCTGAGGGCAGCCCCGACCTTTCCTTACAAACTCCTCTGCTCCAGGACACATTTTGTAAAGTCAGCCAGAAAAAGGATATCAGCTTTAAGGAAGGAAAATCTCATGGGCTGAATTCAGTTGGGTGAGTTATACCATTCTCTTACATCATTCAATTATTTTAATTGTTGTAAGAATATAAATCCTAGAGTCCATTTTTAAAAGTTCTGGTTCTGTGCTATGAAATACACTTCAAACCCTGACTCTATTTTTAAAACCCTCATCCCTGAGGAGCCCAGGGCTCAGATGTAGAGGTGTGAGGACTTGTCCACCAGGAAACCTGGTGCTGCCACATAGCCTGTCACCAGTTTGGCAGCACAAGGCTGGCCCCTTCTCCTCCCAGCACACGCCTCAGGGTGGATGGGGGTTACTGCGGCCTCAGCTCAAAGGTCAGCACGCCCGGCACTCATGGGAGCAGCTGTCCACGTGGCCCCGTTGACAGGACCTGCACAGCCTCCCGTGATCCCCCTGTGGCTCGGATCCCTTTGAAGGAAATGTGGGGTCTGCTGAGAAGGGCTGCTGCTGCCAAGCAACCCAGGCTCCAGAATTAACATTTGGAATTAATAATGTGCCTGGCTTATCAGCCAGAGCCTTTGTTCCCTTTCAGTTTGGTATGAGCTTTTCAACAACTGTTTCTGAAAGTGATCTCTCCCAGCTGATGCTTTTAATACTCACTGCAGAATTTGATCTGCTTATGAAAATATCTGAAGTGAACTGTAGCCTAGAAAAACATTAAGCCTAGAAAAGTGTGGTGAAATTGAGGTAAAAGGACACGAAGCCAGCACGATGGGATCCTCTTAGCAACTGAGACTCAGAAGGCAGACAAGTAAGAGGCCCAACATTCTGGGCAGGGTCTGAGAGCAGATACCCAAATTTGGGTTAAATATCATAGTTATTTCTCATAGATGAGGTAACCATCAAAGAACAGAGTGGGTTCCACTGTCATGCACAGACGATATGACACAGCCAAAGTCCCTTGGTCCCCACTCTGTGACTATAAGGCATGACTCCCACAAAGTCCTCTCCTAACAGATTGCCTTTCTTTCCTTGTTGTTTCATTGGTGTCTTGACCCTCTTACTTGATTTTAGCCAAACTTTACCCAAAACAAGTTGATCATCGGCACCCTCACCAACACATGACGAAGGTGGATCCCAACCAGCAGATGGAGACTTGTCGTGGGATGCAGAGTCATCCCATCCTTCTGTGTTGAAGATGGAGAGGCATTTGCCTTCCACCAAAGTTAACAGAGTGATTTTTGTCAGTACTGTAGCACGTTGCAAAGAAACAACCCATGGAAAATCAAGCTCAGGGAGATGTTATGGAGAACAATTTGGATTCCTCCCTTATTGGCGGTCTGAAACACTCTGCCATGTACCTTATTTCTTTCCTTCTCAACCCGTAGGCTCAGCCGTCTGGCAACTGATTGCATCCTTCCTGAGGCTCCCCATCTCAGGAACCCACTGCATTGTCGGCTCCACCATCGGGTTCTCACTTGTGGCCATTGGGACGAAGGGTGTACAGTGGATGGAGCTCGTCAAGATTGGTAACTGCCATTTTATTTTACCTGTAAGAAGGGAAGTTGATGTTTGCAAGAGTGAGTTTTATTAAAAGTTACCTTTTAAATGTTTTTTTTTTTTGAGTCAGGGTCTTGCTCTATCACCCAAGCTGGAGTGCAGTGACACAATCACAGCTCACCACAGCCTCAACCTCCTGGGCTCGGGTGATCCTTCCACCTCAGCTTCCCAAGTAACTGGGACTACAAGCTCACACCACCATGCCTGACTAATTTTTTTATTTATCGTAGAGATAAGATCTCACCATGTTGTCCAGGCTGGTCTGAACTCCTGGACTCAAGTGATCCTCTTACCTTGGCCTCTCAAAGTGCTGGAATTACTGGCATGAGCCATCGCACCTGGCTTAAAAGTTACTTGTTAATATATTTTTCCTCCAAATGTTAAGGTTTAGAAGACCTAGATGATTTGGGTCATGCATCTTCCTTAAAGTTCCAGTTAATGGAGTTGGTGAACTTTTGAAATGCTATATTGTTGTCCAGCTTTGAGAATCACCACCTGTTCTTCCCAGGCAGAAGACAAATGTATTTTATTGAAATCAGTCTGTGGGTCAGAGAAAGACCAGGCCACAGGAGACAATGCCTGGCACCCAGGAGCCCGAGTCCATGGTCTCAGAAGCCTCTGTGTGAGTCCGTGTTACTTGCCTCCCTGCATTCACTAGGTCACACGGTTGGCCTCCAGGGAGGAAGCAGCCTCCTGGCATGGCCTCCATGTTGTAGGCTTGCCCAAAGGAACCGGAACACAGGCCTGCAACCATCTGAGAGGCCTAACAACTTATTCGTGGCAATGCTTCTGGCAGGAGCCCCAAAGCACCAACCAACCCACTATGAGAGACTTTCTTTTACCTATCTTCATCCTCTGGGTTAACTCATTTTTCTCACCAGAATCATAATAGTCTGAGAAGCTCTAGCCCAAACTGGATCCCTGACCTGTCAAGTGGGACACAGACTGCCAGAAAAATCACCTCCTGTCCCAGGCTTCCAGAACAGTGGTTCTCAGCTCTGTCTGCACTTTAGATTTACCTGGGGAAAGCAATTTAAAAATACCACTGTCCAGATCTCTTTCAGACCTTTCTAAGTCAGTACTCTGGGGGTGGAATCAGGTTCTAACTAGTGTTTGAAAACTCCCCAGATGGTTCCATTGTGCAGCCAAAGTTGACTAGAGGCTGAAGGTTTCAGAGTTCCAGTGGTTAGATGTCAGAAATGAAAGTATCAGCCTGGGCTTGGAAAATGAAATGGAAGTAGCCCAGCTTTAAAGAACTCCTACTAGTGGAACAGGGAGTGCCACCTGTATTGTTAAGAAGAGCTGGCAGAAGGAGTGGGAGCCAGGGCCTCTCGCTTCCAAGGCCAAAGCTGGGGGACGGCTGCTTGACTGAGCACCAGTGCACAAGCAGTTATATTTGACTGTGTTTTTGCGTCTGAGTAGGGTCATGAAGGTGGGAAGGTCATTCTGCAAAGGCGCTCATTAGGTTCCGAGCTGTGGTAGACAATCCTGGAAGTATTTAGTAATGTATATAACATATTTTGCTTATCACTGTGCTCTATAAATATGTCAATAATGATGTATGAATTTTGACATTCGCTTAACTTTTTTTCTATCATTCAGTTGCCTCTTGGTTTATATCTCCATTGCTGTCTGGCTTCATGTCTGGCGTGCTGTTTGTACTGATCCGAATTTTCATCTTAAAAAAGGTGAGTGAGGCTATTATTTTAAATTAAATTTTAGAACTAGTTTTGGCTCTACTCAATAAAAATTAATAATTAGAGAGGTTAGAGGAATAAATGTATTTATACATTGCAGAGGCACAATACCCTAGAGTTAGAGTCAAATATTATAAATAGCCAGAAACAGCCAAAGTAAATTACCTGGAGACTCCCTCAGAAACCAACATTGCAAACAGTGTTCTTGGTTCTATGATCTAACTCATTAGTCAACACTCTCAGGAATTGTGCTCAGACCTCAAAAAGGAAAGGTGATTATTTCCTGACTGTTAAACAAAATAGAACCAGACAGTGTTAAGATTATGAAATTGACTATCATTAAAAGCAGCTGAAGAATTTCCTTGCTCAAATGCAAAGGTGTTTTTCTGGTTTTTTGTTTCTGTTTTTTAATGGAGAAAGCAAGCTAGAAACACTGACTTAAGGAAAGGATAAAAAGAAGGAATTATACTTATTGGAGGTACATTTTGTCTAAAAAAAATCAGGCCTTCCTGAGATCGGTGTTCTAGAAACAAAACATGGTTGCCTGTTTTCATCTGACAACCAGGGGGGTGTCACAGTGCTTGACAAGTCCCATGGCCTGCCTACCTGACGTTGTGTGTGGCTGCTGCTTACTCCGCCTCAGGTGCGGGTCGTGCTCAGTGGTCACCTTGCTTGGAAGCATGCCCCTTTCTCTGAGCATTGCCTCCTCCCTGTTGAAGGGCTTATCCTTGTGGATGGTACTAACTTGCCACCGTCATTCCTCACCCCTTCTCCCAGGACAGCCACACCCAACGTATTTGCTTACGTCTTAGAAAGTGCCACTGTCTCTTCCCTGCCAGCTTTTTCCCCTTCATGTCCTCTGCCTGGAATTCATGGCCAGCCCTCAGGTGTCGCTTCCCAGGAAGACTCTGTTGTCTTTCCCCACCTTGGCTGGTTCTTCTCTTGTGCCCCTGCAGCACTCTGCCTTCTCAGGACTGCACCTCATGTGTCCTGTGGTTTCTTATTTCTTCCCCTAGCTACCGTTTGCTGTTGGACTATGAGATCTGTAAGAGTAGAAACCATGGCTGTCCTGATCACTTTGTGTTCCAGTGCTCAGCACTGTGCTTATCTCTTAGGAGACACGTGTTATGTATTTGGGAAGAGGGAATAGCAGATGCTTGGAAGGATGGGTGGATGAGATGGATGGAAAGGAGGAAAAGAGGGAGAAGAGGGAGGAAGAAGAGGGAAGAAAGGAGACAGGTCAGATGAGATACTTGTCATTTGAGTTTTAAGAATAGGTTAAGCCGGGCTCGGTGGCTCAGCCGGTAATCCAGCGCTTTGGGAGGCCGAGGTGAGTGGATTGCCTGAGCCCACGGGTTTGAGACCCGCCTGGGCAACTTGGCGAGACCTCATCTCTACAATAAATCAAAAAATTAGCTGGGCGTGGTAGCGCACGCCTGTAATTCCGGCTACTTGGAAGGCTGAGGTGGAAGGATTGCTGGAGCCCAGCAGGTCAAGCCTGCAGTGGCCAGGAGCGGCCACTGCACTCTAGTCTGGGCGACAGAGTGAGACTCCCAACTCAAAAAAAAAAAGAATAGGTTATTTGAGATTCACTTAAAAATCACAAACTCGGGATCACATACCAGCAGAAGTTACTGGCTGGGAGTCTTTCTTCAGCAACTGCTGTCCCTAAGGAAACAGTACTCTGGGAAATTGAGGCAGAGTATCCCAGCATTTTGCTTTCAGTCCAGCCCAGGTTCTTGTCATGTAGGGCATTGCAGATGATCATACCAGCTGTGTCTCTCATCCCTGGCTCCAGGCTGTTAGCCTTGGTGTCTCCCACTCCTCTGCTTCCCCTGCTGCCTGTGTGACTCCCACAATTGAGCCACTTTCTGCTCCTGCTTTTACCGCCCCTCACACCTCCCTGTTTTCATCCCAAGTCTCTTGACAAATTCTGGTGGCTCCTGAGGCATTCCAGAACAGCGTCTGGATGGGCCGTGCTGTTTTGCAGACCCTTGGTTTCCAAACAGGTTTGTACTTGGCAGTAGCCGACTGTGAGAATCTCTATCTCTCTACACTTCTGTAGCTCGCATTGACTTTTAGACCTGATTTTCCTTTTATCATGGAAGGTAGCTGTTCATACATTCATGTCCTACATGGCTATTAGAAGTGAGTCTCTTTTTTAATTATTTGAACAGCATCTGTGTGCCAATGTTGCATTAAGAAGTTCCCAGCCCACATTTTAGCTTCAAAATTCTCTGTAGATCTGCTTAAAACCTTAAATTTCTCATATTCTCTCAAATGTTATTTACCCTAAAACTTGTGCATTACTGTTCTTGTTGAAGTATTGGATTTAGGAGCTGTTGTTGCAGAAGCCTGAAGTTGTAAGTAAATATTTTCTTAGACAGAGACTCACAATTTGTTTTAACTTTTAAATACTACTGTGCCTTGGGAGAAGATTTTGAAAAATCATAGCACATGGTAATATAGCTGAAATGTATTGTGTAGTAGAGTGATGTAAAATCCAGTGGTAATGCAGTGATGTTTAAGTCACTTGATCCTCTTAGAGCACTCTCAGAGGTTGGAGCCTCAAAATATTTGTTGAATGTAGGCTTTTAGGGCCAATCCTAGACAGCTAGAGGTGTGATCACCACAGGTTTTGGGGAAGTAGATGCTGAGCTCTGGGCTTCAGTCCTCCTGAAACCGACCCAATCTAACAGTTCCCTTTGTGTCTGAGTCTGACATCAGTGCATGTGACTGCAGGGCTTTAGCACCTGCTGTCCACAACAGTGTGCTCTGTGACACTGCATTTGGTGGGAGAGATGGCCCCAGCCAATGCCGTTTCTGGAGGAGCAGAGCAGACCACAGATGGTGACCACGCCAGCCTTGTTGACTGCCCCAGGGTTTGGGAAGACTTGAGATGGTATTTTGTATCATTTTGCCTGCTGTCTCCCACTGCTCCCCAAAGCCTGACCTCCCTCTTTATCTCACTGTGCTGCAGGAGGACCCTGTGCCCAATGGCCTGCGGGCACTTCCGGTGTTCTATGCTGCTACTATAGCAATAAATGTCTTTTCCATCATGTACACGGGAGCACCAGGTAAGAATTCCCTGGAAGCTTACTTCCAGCAACGAGGTGCATTGTATCCTGACAGGATCGATTTGTTTGTTGCTAACCTTGTTGACTGACAGTAAGAAGCATTACTTACAGTCATTGTGGAAGTAAAAAGAGTAGTAGATGCATTTGCTTGTTTTAAATAACCCAAGAGATATGTGGAGTACAAAGGCTGCAGATTTCAAGTTAAAAAGAATTAAGACTCCATTCTGCCTTTTACCCAGCTGTTTTGCCTTCACAACTTACTGAGCGTCTCTGAGCCTCAGCCCATGATTGATTGCACTCGCCAATGGATCCATGCAAGGGTTAGAGAGGGTTTGGAGCACAGGAGCTGCACCTGGCGTCAGGAGTGTGGCAGCTCATGCGTCTACAATACAGCAGTGGGCTCCAAAGCCACCCACAGTGCAGACACAGAGCCCTTGGATGTGAGCAGATCCTTTAACCCAAGGACACTAGCTACACTTGATTTTTTTAGAAACTGAAACTAGTGATGATTTTCTTCTCAGAATTACTCCTTTTCTTCCCATTCCGATGACTTTTGTTCTTTTTTATAAGGGTTCAGAGTTTTTTGTGGAGAGTTAGTTGAAAATTCTTTTTCTCACTTTGGGAGGCCAAGGCGAGTGGGTTGCCTGAGCCTGCAGGTTCGAGACCAGCTCGGGCAACTTGGTGAGACCTAGCCTCTACGATAAATGAAAAATTAGCTGGGTGTGTAGCGTGTGCCTGTAGTTCCAGCTGCTTGGAAAGCTGAGGTGAAAGGATTGCCTGAGCCCAGCATGTCGAGGCTGCGGTGGTCGTGAGTGTACCACTGCCCTCCAGCCTAGGTGACAGAGTGAGAATCCAACTAAAAAAAAAAAAATTATTTTCTTACATTCTCAGGAAAAGAAAAACACTCATGACCAGTATGCCTGTCTGCACTCACTTCAGTGTCAGTGACTGGTGGCACCCTGTGAAAGACTTCTGCATGTTTTGATAGACCCCTCCCTACTTCCCACTGTGCACTGTACCTCCCTCGGTCAGGTCTTGAGTACACCCACAACTGCAGAGCTGTGTGGTGTCAACAGACATATTAGTTGGCAGTGTTTTTTGTCTTATGGGCGTCCTTAATGGATTAAGATTTCGTTACTGGCCATATCTGACAGGAAAATATCCCTCTCTCTACTCTAATGATAAAATCTCTGCTAAGCGGCATATCATAGTAGAGTTAAAAAGTGCAATTTTCCTAAATAAGGGGAAATTCTTATCATTTCTCAAACATTTTTCTCAGATTTTATTAGGTATATCTAATTATATTTTGTGTTCTTCGGTACTGAAAATAAAAGATGATTTCTAAGTGATTGTAACATTATACAGCGCTTGACTATGGCATCTCTGCAACTTTTGAAACAGTAATCTTAAAGGTTTAAGTACTCATGATCGGGGCTTCCAGACTTTGGGTGATGAGGGTGGAGAAGCATCACAGCTGCTTTAAGTGCCAGGAAATGCATAGGCTGAAGATTGGTAGCCCGATGGCCCTGCAGGGTTTATATCTCATGGACTGTGAAGTGTGCTTATCACTGCTTTCCAAAGTATCTGTCTTATGATAAATTTTTTTAAAAAATCATAGTTAGAGAAAAAACAGTTCCATACCATGGAACTGAGCACACCCCAGGTATGTAACAGCACCAGGCGTCTCACTGTGCTGGGCTCCTGGAAGGCCCAGAGCATGAGCTGAAAGTCACCACAGCTATGTTAATCCATAGCTGCCTTGCATGCAAGTGCTTGTTCCTAATGTGATGGAGGCTCTTGGCACTCCAGTTAGCTGAGCAAAGAGCACAGCCTCCCTGTCCAGCCAGATACCCCAGGTTAGTGACTTAGGAGACTAAGCCCGTGAAAGCCAAGGTCCCCTCTGTGATGCCAACTCCTGGAAAGGGGAATGAGTTTAAATATGGATGATTTCTTTTTGTTTCTGCATCTTGGTTTTTTTTTTCACTGTCTATTCTTCTTGCTTCCTGGTTCTCCTTCCAAATGTCAGAAGAAGACAACTATGATTTTTGTAAATAAAAATTTGGCTTTTTTTGTACTTGGCCTATTTTTTTCCATCTTTTCTTTTTCTTTTCTCATCTTTTTGATGCAGTTTGATCGCACATTTGCTAAAAGAATCATCATAGTGGAAAAGTAAATTATTCTTGGGAAAATTAAATTATATGATAGATGAGACATGAAGGATAATATAAATACTTCATAGGTAATATAAATACTTCATGTATTGAGCTGAGCTTTATATGAATTAATCCTCTTAGTCCTCCCAGCTCCCCTAGGAGATTGGTTCTATTGCTAATCCCACTTTATAGGTGGGAAATTGAGGAAGAGCAATGCTGAGTACACAGGACACATAACTAATAAGATGCAAAACCAGAATTTAAGCCAAGCTGTCTAGTCCTAAGTCCCAGGGTCTTAGGACATTACACTGATATGTGAGATAGCTTAAGTACAACAGCCGGTGTAGTGCCTGATACGCAATGTTACTGTTAATAAAAATTGCATCAGCCTTAACAAATTATTTCTCATCTTGGCTGGTCATGGTGGCTCACCTCTATAATGCCAGCACTTAAGGAGGCAGAGGAGGGAGGATTGCTTGAGCTCAGGAGTTTAAGACCAACCTGGGCATCAGAGGGAGACCTCAACTCTATAAACAAAAAAAATGTTTAATTAGCTAGGCATGGTGGTGCACCTGTAAGTCCCAGCTACTTACTTGGGAGGCTGAGGCAGGAGGATCACTTGAGCCCAGGAAGTTGAGATTGCAGTAAACGGTGACCATGCCACTGCACTACAGCCTGGGTGGCAAAGCAGGACCCTGTTTCTTAAAAAAAAAAAAGTAAACAAAAATGTCTTCTAGTAGAACGTGGCTATATGTTTTTGTGTATATTTAATATACTAATGTGAAGAAGAGGCCACCTCCTTAATTCAGAATATAAAAATTTGTGTAAGGATCTTGAATATCATTATTCATTTGAAGCACAAATGGTATTCCCAGTCCTGGCACTAGCATTAAGCACTTAGGTTGGGTGGCTGTTTTCTCAGGAATGTAACTTCTCCTCTCCTCCCTAAGTCTCGCTCCTTACCATAAAGGAAGGACAATGGTAATGTCTTCATTAAAGGGACACTGGATTTCATGAGAATGGACAGGGCCTCAGCATAGGACCTGGTGTGTAGTCAACTCTTCATGCAATTGTCCTACCTCCCTGTATGCTGGGAGTTTGGCTCCAGGACTCCTGTAGAGGCCAAAATCACAGATGCTCAAGTGCCTTAAGTTGTCCCTCTACCCCCTTATCTGCTGGACCACAGACACAGAGGCATGTTAGAGGCTATTTTATTACACCAATCACAATTAGCTTTAGTCTTTCGACATTTAGTTGCCAGAAACTCCTGAGTCTTCATGCCTTTCTATTTTTTCCATACATATTTGTGTGGAAAACTTCTTACTTGCCTGGAAGAGAAGGGAGGAGGAGGAGACCATGACTCTGAAGGACCAACCATATTGTTCTTCCAAAGAGCCAAAAAAAACTCTACTCCTTTTGATTTGAAGAGAATGTTTGTAAAATATCCAGTAGGTGAGTCCAAATTTTATTTTCATTTGAGCTTTTGAGCTTTGAAGGTTACCTTTCACGCGTCAAACTAGACCTTAATTACGTACTATTTCCTCACATGGGGCATCTCTGCATATCCAGCTGTTCATAATAGCCAAGTGTCACATTTTGTGTTTCAATTTTCTCTGCTTCTCCACTCTAAATTATTATGTAGCTATTTATTTCTTAGGCTTAGTTTGATTTGTTTTGCTTTGCATTTGCTGTGACTTTTCTCAAATAAAAGTCATTCTTATACTTCAAAGACTAAGTTAGCACTTTTAAAAATTATCTTTGCATTTTTGTTCTTAAAAAATGATTTGCAAGAACCAAAAATAACTTTAGTAAATAAAGTGCTTACTTGGGTTGGATATAATCCTGAAGTTCATTTTTAATGAAAAAGTCTTCAGCTTTCTGTTCAGTGTTTAAGCAGTGAATGCCAAAAGTCACTGTATGCCTCTCTGAATAGTAAAGGCGGATCACCCAGTGAAGCTCAGGGAGTTACACGCCACTTCCAAGTCAAAGTGTGATCCCTCGATCAGCAGCATGTGCCTCACCCAGTAACTGGTCAGAATGCAGGATCTCAGGCCCAGCCCTGACCACTGAATGGAAAACATCGCAGCAAGCTGTGGGGAAGCCAGAACTTGCAGTGACAGTGATTCCTAGTTCTGGAATGGGAAAGCCCTGGGGTGAGAAGGGTCTCCAGTTATCGCCAAGGGCTGGATTCAAAATACAGTGATTTAAATTCACCTTCTTTTCAAAATTATTGCAAATGAACCCTAGTTTGACAAAGCTGGTACCATACACACACAAAAATTCTACTTAAAGCAAATTAAGAAATCGAATTTTTTTTATTTCAAAAGATTGCTTCATTTTCTTAAATAAGTTGCTTCAGGATTCCTGTTACATAGGTAGCGCCTCTAATGCTTTGAACATATTGATCTAAAACAAAAAGCATAAAAACTGGTTATTCAGTTTATCAGGTAAGGCAAGGTAGAGTGATTTTGAAAAGGAGGAAAACGTGTGTGTGTGTGTGTGTGTGTGTGTGTGTGTGTGTGTGTGTATGTGTGTGTGTGTGCGCGCACACTTGCATCCATGCATGTACATGTCACCATGGAAAGGTACTCACAGCGTATTATGTAACAAATGAAAGCACAGAATAGCATATATAGTATGATTCTACTTTTGCTAAAGAAAAAAAGAAACCCCCACAAGCACCCTGCATGGTGGCCTTGTGTGTATCTGAATGATGGCTGGGAAGACAAACACCCCACGGTACCTCTGTGCTCTAGAAAGTGGGTTCAGGAGAGGAGGGGGTGATGGGAACTCATATGTGTGAATCACGCAGTTTATATGGTACTGCTGATATCTCTACAATAAGCATGTATTATTTAAAAGTTAAGACAAAAGAGTCAGTCAGAAGGAAGACTTTAGGGAGGAGGTGATGGGTTGGGGTAGAAGGAAACTAATATGGCTACAGCTTCATCAGTTCCATGTGAATTTTATTTGTTTTGTGGATGCTAGGATTGATTGTTCTATGTGAAAGGCAAGAGGTACAATAAAGTCACGACAATGGAGACTGTGAGTTGTTTTTTTTTTTTGAGTTGGAGTCTCACTCTGTCACCCAGACTGGAGTGCAGTGGCCACTCCCGGCCACCGCAGCCTC